CGTATACTCAAAATTCAATTAAATGTAATTCAGAAAATGTTATGAAAGCTCTTTTAATATTAGGATGTGGTTGTTGTATAAAACATTTTTGATAATTATTTGTCGTAGTGAATCGTAGAGCAAAAACGACCAATTGTTAAAATATTTAATGAATTTCGGGCGTTAAATTCATGGAGAGTTTTGTAATTACTAGCTTTTAAGCGTGTCGTGAAGAGCTGTTTTATAAATGCAGATTAACCATCATAATCAAGATTCCTTTATTTCCTTCTCATCCCAAAATTTAAAAAAATGTACTTTTATTTACATTCGATTCGAAATTTTAATTAAAATAAAAATAAATTTCGAAAAATTATCGACACCAAATTAATCACTCAAAAAAAGGTACTTTTCCGTTTTGACGGCACAGGCGATAAAGTCGCCAATAATGGTAGAGTTAATGACAAACGGACTATCCTCACTGGTAACCATTTACGACTCATTTTCAAAACACGTCGCAGCCATTTCTTATATGATTGAATTTTTTTTCAATACTGGATTACAGTTACATATAATTTTTACCAGATAGTTCAATTTTATGCCCTAAGGCCATTCGCGGTAATTAAGTCATTTAGGATACAATCACAACACTACCCGAAGGCAAAAATAAAGAAAAGGCAACGTCAAGGGTTAAACTCATCAATCCTAATGAGAATGCACTAGCGAAGTAAAGCACTGCGGTTTTACATAATTTCTGAGTAAGCTATTTGTACGAATTGAAATAATTCTTGCATTTAAACCTTGTATTCCAAATTAAGGTTTAACTTGAAATTAATGTACATAATTACTGAGAGAATTAAACTTTCGTAGCGTAATTTACGTCAGATGAGATCAGTTGGGATCGAACCGGCGAATCAGGATGTTGAACCATGAAAACATAGTAAATTCTTAAATTAATGACCTCTTACACATTTTCTTGTCTTTATTTATTGGCTTTTCAAGCAAATTTTAAACGATATTAAAATGTTTATACCTTCAAAATAAAACATTCTTAGAACTAACATTTTTTACATTTTTATGCCGAAACTCTTTTTAAATTGTCGCAAAAAAATATCTGCTTGGCGAGATGCCATACGAAAATATCATTCAGGCAATAAGTACAATGATTAATGTTGATAACAAAAGATAATAACTTGATTTTCAAACCCATAGCAATAAACTTGAAAACAGTTTATATATAAAAATGCATGCGTACCGTCGTATAGATTGATTTGATTTGCAAAGTATGATAAAAAGTTTAAAAAAATTATCAAGCAAAAATGAAACATGATTAAGATATTTATCATAACAAAGATAATAACATTTATTTCATGAAAACCAGATATCTAGTTATTAAATGCACGTCAACATTAGTCAATTTTGGCGTTTTTTGAAAACCACGCGGCTGATTACAAAGGGGAATTAAGCGATTTTCATTACCCTAGTATTAAAAGATTGCGAAAGTCAAAAAGCGAAACAAAAATATTATCTTTCAGAGAAAGATAAATTATGCGTTTTTTTCTGATTAGAGCTATGATGTACCATATTGACAATTCTGACAATTCATAATCCTACTGGTGGCAATTTTGTATTTCCTGTTAAATCTAAAAATAAACGAATATTTATTGGAACCTTTAGTATTATATTGTTTCCTAGGTTATTAAAAAAAAAAAATTACAATTTTGATTATCAAACTAAAAATGAACATACTGAATTTAAAAATATTTGAACGGTCTGCCATATAGTGCAGCAATTCCTTGCGTGTGGAAAATTAGTGTGTACGAGGTTTAACTTCAAAAGGTTAATTACCATATAGTGAATTAAAATAATTCTTTATTTCCTTTGACATAAAATATTCATTTTAAACGCCAAAATTGTTGTTAGGGAATAATTGCATTAAAAAAAATATTAAAAAAATCAACATATAAAATTGAACAATAAAAAATAAAAAACTATGAAAAAAAAAAACTTTTTCAAAATTTGACCGCTGAATTTATTTTTAATTGCCATGAATGAATACTAGTACTGTTCCATCTGTTATACATAAAGGCTAAAAGACCAAAAGGTTGTACGTATTTCATGGAACTTTGACTTTATTGGATATAAACACTGATTTATAAAACCGATAAAACTACCATCATAAATTGCCAATGTCTAATTTCATTCCCAGTATTAAGTTTCCTAAACATTATGTATAACCTAGTATTTACTAGTTGCTACATACAAGTTTAACAAACTACATGTTTTAGCTGTGACGGTGTAAACTGTCTCAACAAACCAAACATTTGAAATGTTTAGATATTAAAGTTTAAGGTTCCAGATAGTTAAGGCATCATACATGCCCGTTAGCAACTGCTTAATAAGCACTGATAATAAATGCGTTACTAGATACTACAGCCTTATTCGAATAGTCATCTGTACTTGTCTAATAGTAATCAATGCAATTCAAAACATGAGTAAATAAAAGTTAAATTAACATAGCCTAACATAGACACTTTATTTAAACTTGACAGAAAAGAATCCCGTAAGAATTTGTACTCAAATTTCAGACGTAGTAGCTATGCAACCCAAATTTTGTGTTATTACGTACAAACGGTTCTTTTAGAGCAGCAGAAGGGCTACTACAACCGACTCGGTAGGCTGTCCTTTTTTCCCTTAGTCAAAAAAATATTCATTCTAATACCAAGTAAGGACTTTTTGGCTTTGTTTTCTTTTTCCTTTTGTTTATTGTACTTTATTTCAATAAAACTAGTTAATAAACAGATAGCTCTTGCATTTTAATTTTTCAAAAGAAAAGTACAAAACATAGTTTTTTGGAACAAAATTGGAAGAAACTTTTTTTTTGCTTAAATACATAATCTGCTTCAGTTTTAAACTCAAATAAAACAATTAAACTAACTTTTTATTCATCTCCACTCAAGACTAAATACACATGATTATTTTTATAACCCCAGGATTAAATTAAGTGAAACAAATTTTTTTTTTGTTTAGTGAAGCAAAATACATAACTTACTTCCGTTTAATAAAATTAATTATACTTTTATCGATATAAAAAAGAACTTTTAAATACGTAATGTAAATACGCGAAAAAATATTTAAATATATTACTGCTTCCTCGTGCGAAGTAAAGGACATACTGTAATTGCGAAAAGTTTCCGTTATCATATTTGAAAGAAAATATCCATTTTGTCCGCTCTCGAATCTATTTCAGCGATGTTTTTTGCGTGACATCTGTACGTACGAATATAATATAGGACTCATTATACCAAAACGGATTGTGAAATGGATTCAGAAACGTTTTCGTGACGTCTGTTTGCCTGTACCTCGAAGAAGGCGAAAACAAGTAGCTTTACAACGTTGAAATTCTGTGTATTCGACTGCTATAACATGTTTTTGTGCACCTCCCTTTCTTGCTGCAACCGGCGGTCCCAAAAGGAATTTATATACTCACTCTGTTACCCGGATCGGTGAGCTTACTTTCGTTTCCTTATATGTTGGTAAACTGTGCATTTTTTGCTTTAAAAGTGGTTTAATTTTGTTGTTTCATGTTTCGGGTATTTAATCTGCATGTAACAGTTGTAGAAATGTTAGCAAGTTGAAGTATAAGTGATGCTAAGCTTAATAGGGCCTCCATTTTTTTACAATTGAAACTCTTAGCAGAAGCGTGAATTAAGTGAGTTGGTGTACCAACTTCAGTGTCTTTTAATCGAATGAGTCCAAAAGTAATCTTTCAGTTTTGTTCACCGAAAAATCTGTTTTCTCCCCCCTCGGCCAAATTTCTTGCTTTTGCGTAGAAACTCTACCTATAATTTATTTATTTACTTATTTTACTTTTTTAACCGCATTTGATATATTAGTGTTTCATGTTTTTCTGATTTCTACAATTATCAATGAAGATGCTTTGAGATTTTGTGCATTTTGCTTTGTTGCGCAGCGAGAACTGAATTAATTGAATGAAAAATATATCTCTAACGAAATTCGAGGGAACAAGTTTAAATAAAATGCAGCAAAAATGTGTATAATTTAATAGACCGTAGAAGTGTGGTATTCATATAATTTTATATATTTCTTTAGTGGATGAAAATTTTAAACATATAAACATATATATATATATATATATAATATAAATTAAAAAAAAAATTTTATTTGGGTTAAGACACAGCAAGTAATTTTGATAATTCGTGTTCCGGTGTTGGTGTGTTGGTTATTTAATTATGGCAAAGCAACGAGGGCTATCTGCCTAAAGGGAGGGATGCCTTGTGGAGGACTTTCTAAGGGAAAACTGGCTCGTATACACGTACACATGGGGAAAACACGAAAACGCCCATGCAGCCAGCCCGTTCGCGGGATTCGAACCTCAGACCGAACTACCAGTGTTCAGCGTCTTTACCGCTCGGCCGCTGGTGGGCCAATTCGTGTTCCGGATAACTACAGCCCAGATAATTTGAGTCTTGTTGTATTTAAAAATCGGGATCAAACAAAATTGGATAAAGGAACATGGAAAGAAAAGTTACTGTTCTTGTCAGATAAAAGACAAAGTGCAGAAAAATATTCTTCCATTTTTATTTAGAAAATTGGAATGCGTGCAGTTACTTTAACCTGGTAAATACATTCGATCTAATAATAACCTTGAAAAATTATTCATGTGCTACAACAACAAAATTAAAAGGAAAAAAAAAAAACTTCCTGCGCTAGGAAGAAAATTTTGTTGTATGAATAATTAATCCAATTTTATATGAAATGCTGTTCCACGCTAGATAACGGAAACGAAAGACGCTTTTGCAATTTTTTTCTGTCTGCTACAAGAACATTTGAAGCATAAAGGCATAGAAAACTGTGTCTAAAAATGTTTCAACGTTATGTATTTATCACGCTAATCGCCACCTTTAAACGAAAACCTAAAACAATTGTTCAGAACTTTTTTGTAGATGTAGGTATTACTTAGTTGCAAAATGTAATCTTTAATGCAACTTGTTCTTTTACAGGACCTCTAAAACACGTCACTGGCATGTGAAGCGTAATGCTGAAAAGAAGACGTTTTTGAGTAAGTTTTTTACCCATATTTTAGACCTTGATTCATTCTTAAGCGCAACCTGTCTTAAATATTTTTGCTATCTACAGATAGTTTTATGTAAAGCATTGAGTCAGTTTTATGCAGTAGACTGACTGGATAATGCTGGGAGTAATTTATACAACGTTATATGCTACCATTCTAGCCCTATTAGTTAAATTATGGCCTCGTTTACCCACCTGTTACCAATCAATCTGAAAATTTTAAAATTAATAATTCAGTTCTTACACAGAATACATATACTTGTATTATGCAGTTATTTACTTAGTACTTTGTTTTAAAATATTTATGTGCATTTTAGGTTATAAAGTTTATAAGCAAACAGAGAAAAAAACGAAGCAGAAAGTCCAAAGTATGGTACAAAACAGACAAAGGATAGAAGTGTTGTATGAGAATAGATTCATTTTTAAATCAAAATCACATGATAGAAGTACGTTTATGCCAGTTATTTTTCAAAAAGCGTTTTTGGAAATAAAAAAAACGTGTCATTGGTCTTCATAGTTTTCTTCAAAACTGAAGCTCTGATTTAGAATCTGTAGACGGCTGTTGATTAGAAAATGCCATTTTAAGCTATGTAAGCTTCGTATGTATCTTTGCGCTAAACTGCGATTGTTAGATTTTAAATTTTTTTAGAAGATAATCAGACTAATTTTTTTTAAGAATTTCTAAGATTGTGTTGTGGCCGTGTTAGCTTAGTTTTAATAGTTATTAGAAAATCAATTTATTAAAAAATTGTGATGGTCGTGCTGACAAGCATAATGTTTTTTAAATTAAGATATTCTTCAGATTTTTGGTTCAGTTAGAAAACAGTGCCCATATAAAGAATTCCATCCAATTTTAAGTATGGACCATTAGCCATTTTTAAAATATAATGCGCGCGAGGTGGAAACATGACGAAAAATTTTGGCACAAAGCGAATTAAATTACAAAAATATTTGTAGCAACACAAACTTTCTGATTACTATTTCAGAAAGCAGCTATATTATGTAGTAAGCTGTAAAAAGTTGGAAGTAATTGCTTTTAGAATAAATAAAATATACCAATTCTTGCAACAATCACATATTCGAAGATCATAAGGGGTTTAAGCTGTATGAGGCCCCTTAATAAGAAACTGTAGTATTCTGTTCCACTCTTCCAGAAGAACTCTTTGCAATTCTTGGAGCGTTTGTGGGGTGGTAGAGGGTTAGCAACTCATCTGCCTAGCATGTCCTAACATGTTGTATTGGCTTCATGTCCGGAGACCATTCCGTTCGTCAGATTCCTCCCTGGGAAAAGAAATCATTCACCAAGTTAGCACGATGTAGCCAGCAACTGTCGTTAATTAACTGAAGTCAACTGATGCAGGTAAGGATCTACAATGGGTCTGAGGATCGCATCTCTATATCGGCGACCGGTCAGAACTCCATTCTGAATGATGTGGAGGTCAGTGAGTCCTTCATGGTTGGCATGGACAATCACTCCTCCACAGCGAAATCTGAAACTTCTGTGGAGGAACTCAGGACTGTTTCTAATGAAACGACTATTAAAATACGACTATGATGAGGATCAATATAAAAGCGGGATTCATCACAGAAATGAATGTTGAGCCGTTTATTTCTCTTCCAATTCACACTGTAAATTGTCCACACCCTGTAGGCGCGATGGTGCGTATCACTGGACAACGATATTACTGACATTAAAGCGCAGAGACGGTTTCGGACAGTTTGAGTAGAAATTGTGGTACGTGGAATCGAACGAAAGTGCTGTTCAAGAAGAGCGGCATTCATATTTCAGTGTCTTCAACCTCCTTAGTGTTAAATATTGATCTTTATTCGACGTTATTGAACATCTATGGCGTTGCCCTTGTCTTCGACATGCATTTCCAGTCTCCAAAAAACGGCTCCAGATGCTGGAAATCAAACTTTGTGAAACTCCAGTGGCTTCTGCTATTTCGGCTCTTGTTTACCCCTCTCTAACTGACCGATAAATCTTCAAACTTCTGAATCGGTTGTTGAGGCATCGCAGTCATCAAAACAACGCACGTATTGAATGTTGATCATACCTTTCCTCTTTATCTTTCATTAGGCTGAAAGCCAAATTTTACTCTCAACCACTAAAGCTTCGTTTTTGATATCAAACTCAAATTTGCATACTCCGAAGTTCATACCTTTCCTCTTTATCTTTCATTAGGCTGAAAGCCAAATTTCACTCTCAACCACTAAAGCTTCGTTTTTGATATCAAACTCAAATTTGCATACTCCGAAGTTTGAAAAACGTAAAAGTGTAAAAATGAGTAAAAAGTAAAAATGAATAAAACTTGCAAGATTCTCTGCTTCCATCTCCTTTAAAGCAAATTTACTTATACCGTTATATTATATACGACTTACAATACCTATTAATTCTTTTGAGGAGTGTACTTACCAAGCTAAAGTACAGCTAAGTACTTAAATGTCATTGTTTAAATATAGTAAGTACTATATCTGAGTACTGTAGTGGAGCTAAGTACTTACCAATATTACTAGGTAACGGTATTTTTAAAGGCATTTTTAAAATTTTCCAGAATGTAAGTAAAATGTTAAGAAAATCACGTCTGATGAAATCATGTTCACGTCCTATGTAATCATTGCTTCCTTTACTACGTAAGAAATCCTGATTCACAGGAAAGGAAAATCTCATGTTTATAAATTTGTTTGTTTTTCCATTTCCGTATACACTTTTCGCTGTTATTTGAAAATATACTTAGGGAGTGAGAACTCGCAATGCAGTATTTATGAGGATGAAATAAGAAATGCAAATAATCACCTTCGAGTGAATTGTAATATGCTTTCAACGATAAAAAAGCTGAGTAATAGAATCATACACTGAACCTTGCATAGTAAAGATTTTTTTTTTATTTATTTTGATTTCAGTCACATGAGAAAGTAAACATTTTGTTTTCAGGAGGAGAACCCAAATATTGCAAAATATCTACTCCGAGTAAAGATGATTTTTACTTCGACTGCGTAAGATGATTTGAAAGGTTTTGCGAGGAAAATTTCTTTCATAAATATTTTACTTCTCATATAAATATTTTTCCGATTGCAAAAACCTCGTATGACTACGATTTATTTAAGTATATTTTTGAGAAGGTACGCTTTTCCATGTACCCCTCAGTATTTAACATTTTAAACCAATTTCAATATACGCACTAACATAATTTCAAGTTTTAAAAGTGTAAAGTTTGAAGATGTAGTTACCTTAGTTCTCTAGGACTGGGTTAGACATGTTTATTGACATGTTGAATTCAAAATCTTGTGTGAGAAAGCAAAATTACTATTGCTGCCTTTTTCAAATACATAGCTCTGTGAAACAGAATTCTTTGCCTATACGATTATCAAAACAAAATACAGAAGTCGCTTAAATGAATAACAAGATGTTGTGTCCAAATTGCAGCCACACGGTTCTTAAACATTTACATGCTACTTTATGTTATGTCTTAAAATAGGCCTATCGTTGCACTAAAGTGATCGTTAGCTAGAAAATTTTAAAAAATTATTTATTGCAATGGATAGTAAAAATTTTGAATAACAAATAATGAGCAAATTGTACTTTAATTTGACCTAATGTAATCCGCAAACTGTTTATTGTATAGATGGTTTTTATCGCTGTTCTCATTGATAGCTTACTATAATTCAAATGATCTGTTTTCCCCAATTTAGAAATAAGCTTTTTGTATGCCAAAATTTTGGCAATATCATGGGTATTGGCGGTAGTTAAAAATATTATGGTAAATTTAAAAAATTTTAAATAACATCATTAAATGGATGTTGCATTTGTTGTCTCTTCCTTTACGTTATTTTATTATCTACCTCCTCTTCTCTTTCCTATCCTACTTCTAAGCACTATTAACTTGTAAATCCCAGAGTAGTCCTAAGGAGATGCGCCATAGTAATTGACTCGATAAAATGTTCCGTGAGTCTTAAAGTTCCAGAACATCTGCCTAAAAACCCTTTCGCAACTGTTTAACCTCAACCCTCAACATTTTACTGATGTTCGCAGTCGCAATACTGCCTTTAGAAGAAACTACACACAATGGGTGAGGCCGCGTAAAGATCTCAAAGAGAGAAATAATCACTTCGCTTAAGTGGATTATTGTTAACGCTAAAGTAAGTACCCATGCCGAGTAGAAAGCTAATGGAAACAGTATGAAGCTGTTTATTATTAGCAATCTGCTTGACATGGATGAAGAAACACCATTCGAATAGAAATTCGTATACATGGGAAGTAATGAATGCTTCGCCCATGCCAAGTAGAATGCTAATAATAAAAAGCATGAAACTGTTTATTATTAGCATTCTACTTGGCATGGGTGACGTAACACCATTCGAGCAGAAATTCGCATACATGGGACTTTCAGATGTTTGAGAACAGATTCTAGCGTCTACCAATGCGAAAGAGTTAAACGATAAAAGCCTTCTTTGCTGCCATGCGTCTGGGGTAGGGCAGCCCAGGTTGGTAAATGATAACGTAAGTTAGTCATGAACAGCACATAATTCGTGTAAAGTGTCTTTTTGAACTGGGTACGTGATTGAAAATTTTCAAGCAATAATAAATTTTCACTAATGTTTTATGAAAAATGTTAATCTTTTTTTGTCACGATTAGGGCCTTGAATCAAGATTATATTCAGAAAAATCCAAGATTTAATTAAAGTTTCTTTCTTAATGGTGGAAGAAATATCCTATAATTCGTGATTTAAATAATCAATTCCGAAGATGGTAAAAATCCTCATTAATCTGAAAGTCAGTGATTAATTAATAACTACTGCAATAATAAATTGGTGAAAACTGTTCTTTAAGATTAATATGCGAATTTTAGTTTGGAATGCGTACAGAAATCTCCCTGAAAATTTCTAATTAAATCAAAAATGAAAAAAAAAAAAAAAAGAAAGAAAGAAAGAAAGAAAAAATGGAAAAAAAATTAAATACTAAAACCGGACAAATATTTTTTTATTTGT